CAACCACTTCAGAACACAGCCATGGTTTGCTTTGTTTGGCTTGGTGTGTTGTGTAGTGAAATACAGATGCATGTTGGACAAATGTATTTGGAGTACCTGATTCAATTAACATGTAAAAAAAACAATGCTAGAAGTACCCAGTGGAAAGTTTCATGATGCTGTTTTTCAGGATGCTACAAGATCACCACTGTCTTCAGCCATGCTCAGACTGTAGTTCTGTGTGTAGGGTGCTCAACTGTCCTGTGTCAGCCAACTGGGGGCAAAGCCAGGCTTACAGAAGGTAAGGGCAATGCTACACAACCTAAATATGCCCCTTACATAAATGCATTTTATAGCCTGCAAATATTTTAGCTCTGATTTTGGAAACTGATACTGGAATACTGATTTTGCAAATTACTTAGAGTTGGCTAGTAGAAACATTGTTAATAGGCCCAGAATTGTGAATTTTTCTTCAGATTCTTTGTTTTTAAATGGCTATATACATATGCCAGGCAGCTAAACACCTACATCAAACACACTTCATTTTAGGTGAATTGTCATTCCCTTCAGCTTATATAATGAATACTGCTGTTTAATTCTGAGCTATGTTTAAAGTGTTAAAAAGCACCATCAAAGGAGTAGGGTATCTTTGCCAAGCTAAAGTAATTCTGTGCCACTGCTAGTCAGTAATGGCTTGCCTGTTTGTTTTTAAACTGTAAAGCAGTTCCCTGGCTCAAAGAAAATTTGTTTCATATAAATTATAAGGGAACGAATAACCACAGGTAATGTATATACAGATAAGTGGCATAACACTGGTATCTTTGAGTGCAGCCCAATGTCTGGGGTATATGAAAAGCACTGGAAATACTTTAGGATTTAAAAAATGTAAAAATTAATCCAGATTTTATTAATTTCTTGTTTAAAGGGCAAAAGGTAAACATGTGTACAAATTACATGTAGCAGTGCTTATATAATGTGCTACTACACAGGGGTGGTAAATGTGAGGACAGAATACCTGAAGTAAAGCTGTTGAGCAGTTGAAATGGTAACAACACACACAGCAGCTGTTTTAGTTTGGGGGTTGTATCACTAAAAGATGGATCAGTAGACTGAAATTTTAAAAAACATCTGGAATAAAATAAATAGTACACCTTAATCTTATTTTAAGATGAATTGCCTGACAGCCATGTTGTTCAGGTTGAGCTAGAGAAGACTTACAGTGCTAAATCTTCACCTCTTGTGGTACATGAAATTTAAATTTAATCTATGACTTTTTCTACTTACATTGCATGGACAATTTTTCAAGGCATTCAGACAATTTAAGGATTATTCATACCTATACTCACGTGATTTCTTTGCAGGCTGTTCATTTAGAAGAAAGCAACACTGAACAGTTCAGCATGTGAGTTTTGGATCTGTGTTCCTGAAAGCCTTACCTGTTTAAGAATGCCTGTTACAACAACAATGTAATTATGATTGATTTTGTACAAATTACATGCTACTGCTGACTAATCTGCTGGAATCTTTTTTTCAATAAATGATCTGAAGTGCAAGTTTTTCCTGTAAGTTTGCAGACAACCAAGCTCTATTTTTATAATTTTACATTTAAACAGTAAAAACCTTGGACTTCCTGCATCCTTGCCCTTGCTAATCATAAACTACAGCAGTGTAATGCATATAGTGTCAGAAACTGCTTTAGGAATGCATTTTGTGTATTTTCTTACTGCAGCTACCATAACTGCAAGGGTTGCAAAAGCTAGAGAAGATTTTAAATGGCTCATTTGCTTTCAGTGTTGCTGTAGTCCCTTCCCCATCTCGGGTAATATGGTGATAAATAAAAATGTAAAGTTCCTCACTATGTTCAGCTGTTTCTCTGGAACACATGGATTTTCCCTTCTGCTAATTTGATCTCAAGACTGCACTTGGTATTCTATACTGAGATTTCTGTAAAAAAAGGTCCTTTGCAAAGCACTGAAAACATTCAGTATAGAGAAGGGAACTGGCATATAGGCAGTTTAAATCATGGAACTACACTAAGAGGTGTGAATGGTATCTAGCCACTAGTACAGCAAACCCATCCATATTGTTAGTATTAAATCCTGGCATTAAATAATTGTTTTCTTGTAATAAAGAAAAGGGTTTAATTAGTTTTTGAAAGCCATGTCTTTCTAAATGGCTGGTAAAAATGGATTTTGTTTTTACTCATGAGAAAATATTAAAACAAAATCTTACATATGTCTTATTTTACTAAATAATATCTCAGGTTATGTATCAGCATCTCTTTAAAAGTATCAAGTGTCTTGGTGAGCTAACTGTTGTTGGGATTTTCTAATGAATCACAGTATTCTTTCTATGACTTTGAAAAGTTGTACATGTCTAGTCAATAAAATAAACCAAAAACTTGATACTACAGTTCGTTGCATTTGCAAGGTTAGTTTTATTTCTGTTATTTCAAACAGCAAACATGTAATTACCATAGGCAGGAGGAGGTTTTGATCCAGAAGCAGGTGTACCAATGGAATACACATGTTTTTTAAGGAAAGTAGGGTCTGTGTCAATGCCACTCTCAACAAAGGTTCCCTCACAAGTAAGTTCATCATGAAAGCTGCTCTTAATTGACCAGTTTCCCACATACAATGCCAGCCCATCAAATTACTGGTTTTAGAACAAAGATCAAAGTAGCAATATTAATTGTGACCTGAATACATATGCTAAGGCCAGATTGATTCTCATATCTCTGCCTTCTCTACCCTAAGATAAGAACTTATGATTAATTTAATACCTAAGCAGAGACTGTCAGGGACTGATTTTGTTTCAGGTACTAGAAGATGAAATGTGGACATCAGAACATCTCCAGTACTGCACATGTAACATCAGAGGCTTTTAAAAAGCCTTATGTTACAGGAGATCAAGTATAAAGAACATAGTGTGCAAATTAAAAATTGGTGGTGAAACAGATTCTATGTGGGGAGTGAGACACTGTCATTAATATCATGGTATTAGCAATGCTTTAGTTTTTACTCTTTTTCATTTTCATACATACTTCCAATATTTACATTTGTTAATGTTTAGTCATATGCAAACAAGCATAACAGTAAACCTACACCACCTACATTCTCAATCTTTGTCTAAATCCACACAACAGTCAGCATGTGAAACTTGTTTTCTCTCAAGTATGCAAAATGGCTTTCAAAAATAATAAATAACATTTGCAAAACAGGTGTATCATATGTTAAAAATCCTAAAGTAAGTGTTACTTTTCAGATTTTCTGTATTTAAAACATGGTGTTTGGTCTCTTTCTATTCAGTTGTTCAACACAAAACCAGAAGTTATTATTCTTGTTCCCTGTCTAAAACTAGCACTGACTTCTGCTGTTTCCCCAGCCAGCAGGGCTCAAGACTGGGGCAAGAACCCCAGTACTTCTAAATTGGAACTGTCAAGACAAAACTAAAGACTTCAGAGAAAGAGGAGATAATCTATTGCCTGACCAATGAAAGTTCATTCAGAAGGATTCTCTCTGTTGTTTTCACTCTTGAGAAGACAATACATTATTAGTGAATAAAAAAAGTGACATTTTGGTGAGTGGGTCAGAAACCCCAAGCAAACAATTTTTAAGGTACAATAATATTTGTGAAGAGTATACTAAACTAGTCTTACTAGCTCCAATTAAAAACGTAGGTAAAACAGCTACCCTCAAAATACTAAATTTCCCAGTTTCTTCGTCTTGGATAATAAGTATTACCATAGGCATAGTGGGAACAGAGATAGCAGCATGCTCTATCATCATAGGGCAGGTAACAACTATGAAGATAATAAAAGCATTAGTTTGGCAAAGAGACAGGTAGGGCTGTCTTCTGCTAGCTGCTAACCAAGACATCTTGCTCCTTAAATTCAGAGAAGCAGGGCTGCTAAACAGTGCAGGAAAGGAAGTATTGAAACCTTTCCTGAAAGATAGATCTGTCTTGTCTCAGCCTGGAAATAGTGTCTAATGTCACTGCAGGGGAAGTGAAGTGGGGATAAATCTTTGAGATGACAGAGATCTTCCATGCCATTGTGAAATACATAAAATGGGCACTTTAGATGCTACTTTATTCCCATTGTAAAACTGAAGATTAGAAAATCTCACACCTCCAGTCCTGTGTCCAGCTCTGGGCCCCTCACTTCAAGAGACATTGAGGATCTGGAGCATGCCCAGAGAAAGGCAGTGGACATTCTACCTTTCTCTGGGGGAAGGCTCTGGAGCACGAGTCTGACAAGGAGAAACTGGAGGAGCTGGGAGTGTTTAGCCCGGAGAAAAGGAGGCTCAGGTGTGATCTTATCACTCTCCACAACTCCCTGACAGGAGGCTGGGGCCAGGGGGGGGTTGGCCTCTCCTCACAGGGAACAAGTGAAAGGACAAGAGGACGTGGCCTCAAGCTGCACCAGGTGAAGTTCAGGTTGGACAACAGGAAGAATTTCTTCACGGAAAGGGTGGTCAGGCAGGAGCTGCCCAGAGAGGCCCCAGCCCTGGATGCAGCACTTAGAGCTGTGCTCCAGCTGCCATGGCCCTGTTTGGTTGGTGAGACTTCTATTTCTGGCTTCAAGAATGGGCTGTAAGTTGTATTGAGCTGAGTTCCCAATTGCTGTTTACAAGGGAATATCTGTGCTACAGAATGCAGTGCCATTTCTGGCTACCTAGTTAGCATGTATGTCACTCAAAAACAATGGGACAGTTAGACAGCTTGCCACATTGTGCTATTTGGGTGGATTTGACTCTAAAATAATACTGTTATTGCACAGTAAACTAATTTCATGCATTCTCTGTGTCCAATGAAAATGGATGAGAGAAGATCTAAATAACAAAACGATTTTTATTTATATTGCTCTAGATTCATTATTTTCTAGTTCTTAATCCACAGCTCTGATAAAAGCTTGCTTCTGGTATAAATCTGGAGGCATTCTGGAGGCAGCTTCAAGGTTTGGGTTTTGTTTTTTTTTTAAGGAAATAAGGGAAGTGGTATGTGAAAACAAAAAGCAGTGGTGACACAATTTTTCTTTAATACTGATTAGTTTTGGCAGACTGGAACTGAGAATAACAACGTATTTGTGTGCTCAAATCACGATGTGGAATTTATCAAAAGTTTAACATTCAAGGTAGGTAATTTGTACTTCTTAGTGCAAAAAAAAAAGCTATTTTTTAATCTTGGTCAAGTGTTTCACTAGTTGATAAAAATAAACTGCTAATATAATGATAATTTACACAGGTACTACAGAAAGTCATCATTGAATGTTACATTCTCATTTTCTGTAAGTTAGGAATTTCCCTGAGAGATGAATTCCAGTTAAAACATAAGTTTAGCACCACTAGCAGAGGTTAATTAAGTGAATTGTTTATGCTTTTTCATCCCATATACTTAGTGAACTTGAATTACACCCTTCTCCCTTTGTTTTTCAGTACAGTGAGTTCAGTCACACACATCTCTTTTAGTCTGTACATTGTGCCCGTTTCTCTTTATCGAATTCCCTTGCAATCTTTAAGGCAGTGCTGTTGAGCGAGACCGATTGCATATTACAGATAATGGTGACAATTACTCCTCTCGGCGGGGCCACTGGCCAAGTACCCAGAGCTTCGGGGTCCAGCTCTTCAGGCAGAATGAGGAGGACACTGCTGGCCCCCACAGCACCCCCAGTATGGGATGCATAGTGTCTCAGCTGTCTGCAGCAGCCATACTGTTGGCTTTTCTCTACCACAGCCCAAGCCATTGCGTATTTACCATCCCTATCCCACGACACTTCTGTTTTGGGCACTGGAGTCCACATCATTGCAACTGTGCCTGGCTTGAGGTACCCTGGAAGAAGTTTGGCATTCCTGTTTTTAAATTGTCCAGCTTGATAACTGTACAACAAGGCATTTCCAAATTTCAGGAGGTCACCTACTGATGATAGAAAGCCACCACCGGCCCACTTGTAAGAGTTGTCCACATATGGTGCATTTACCAGCCGTCCCTTTTTGTTGTAAATGTAACACCTAAAATTCAAGAAAATTCAACTTGTTATTCTCATATACTATGCACAATGATTTTAAGCTGCCCTACCATAAAAGAGCAAACTGAGCATGTATTAGCTTGTTCTTGCTAACATTTAGAGGGTTTTTAAAATACATTTTTGAAATATATTTATTGCAGAAAAATCAGTAAGTAATTCAAACAGAAAAACAAAAATTAACGTGACTTCTTAGGTCAGAAGCTTAACTTCAATAAAAGTACTAATCCTTCTGCTTAATCTTAGGATATACTAAGAATAAAGTCAATATAGAAATAACAGATGTGACAGAAATAAATAGATCAGCCAACACAGATTTTTTTCTTAAATCCCTGTACTAGAAATGACATTTTTTTAAAGAACAAGGAATTCTACAACTGAGGCTTAGGTGACTGCTCTCAGACAGTAGTTTCCATTTATGGCTGATTTCCCCCCAGTTCTCCTTTATGGTTGCCATATTCTACAACAAAGCAAGGAGCATTAAAGTCTTGCATAACACAAATTAGAAACTGCCAACCAGAGCTGTAGAATGAACTATCAGGAACAATACAACAGAAGTGCAGAACAAACTATGCTTTTGAAAGAAACAGTCCAATCATGACTTGATTCATTTCATATAACATATGAAAATGACTTGTTGAATAAATATATAACCCAAAGAATTTCAAACTATGGTCTTTATACCAAATAAGGTCCATGTACTACCTGGAGAGTTATGAAAAGGAAAAACCCTACCTAGATGGCACTTGTGTTGGAAGGCTTTTTAGCAAACTTCTGAGTAACTCAAAGCACTGAAAGTCAGAGGTTGAAACAAAGGAAGAATGATGGACAGTCCAGGATGCAAGACTACCATCGACTCTGACACTGATTTAGTGTCTTCTTGTCCCCATAATGAATTTTTTGATCATAAGAACACCCTGTTACAAAGACATCGATTTAAACCTCTAAAAGATCTAGAATGTGGATTTTTTAGCATTTTCCTATTAGATAAATATAGTATAACCAAACCATTAAACAAACTTCAATGCATAATACATTCTATTTTGAGGCATCAAGCTCCAATTTGTGGCAGCAAACCATCAGCATCTCAGTTTTGCATTACAGTGAGTAGCTATAAAGACTCCCAGAACAGCATCTGTCCCAATTCTTTGATCCCTCATATATTTCAGTTTATAAAAGGATAAACATATTCATGTTCTAAAAAACCTTTACTGTACAAGGTTGATAATTTAGGAGAACATCACTATCATCCAGATGAGCCTCAGCCAGAGAGCCTCTGAAATTTTGCAAGCAAACCAAACACCAGCACACAGCATCTTAGAATAGAGGAGTAAAGCTGTACACACACACTCTTCCAATATACACTTGGACTTAGGATAAACCTCAGCTTCAACATGTTCATCGTTCTTTGAGAGCATTTTTAGAAGCCAAACTTTTAAAAAGTCTGAGTCTCATTTTCATGAGACTGTTACTATAACCTGCTTTCAACAGAAAGCTTTCAACATTCTGTCATTCAACAGAATTCTTGTCCCATGCCAAAATTTAACAGGGGAGTCAATAATCAATTTCTGAGCCCAGAGAGGAAAGTCAATAAAATAAGACAAGATACCCAAGCCTGATCCACTATATTGGAATGGATTATCCAGTTACATAAATTTCTCTCAGCTTGTTGTTTTGTGGGTGCCCTTTGTTTTGTTTTTGTAGGAGTGTGGGGTGTCTTTTTGTATTTTTTCCCTATGTTAAATTAATTTTAAAAATAAATTGAGTTAAACAGAATTTTAATTCTGGTCAAGATTCATACTGAAATTTTATTTATGAGAACCTTATGTTACTGTGAGACTGTTACAATTCCATGGAACCCTTTAAATGCCAGTATATTAAGCAAACTAAGGTAACTATATATTCCAACATAATCTCCTAGTTAACTCCTTATTTTATTTGCATTTATATGCTTACTTGTACCCAAAGTAAATCTAAACTTTGAAGTCACTCCTATTACTCCCCTCACTTCCCATATTCACACTTAGAACAAGAAATACTTATTTCTTATTCTGTAGTTTAACATGCTAATTACAGAACCTATACCATGGCATTGGAACCAGCTACATGAGTAATGTTGAGGTAACACACACCACTTCATTCAAATGTCTGGGAAAAGAAAAATCACACATTCTTAATTCAGCTGTCTTAATTAAAATAGAAAGGGCAATAGATGTTATGGAAAAATTAAAGAGTTCCACCCCTGCTTACCTTGCTCTGTTATATATCATTGCTTCATTGTCATCTAGGACAGTTGACAGCATATCCAAATCACGAAACATTTTCAGCATATAATCTGTAAATTTTTGTCCTGAAGCTCTCTCCACAACAGCACTTAAGAGAGTAAAGCCATACGTTGAGTACAAGAACTGACTGCCTTGAAGAAACACAAGGAGAAAGGGAAAAAAACCCACATTAATGGCATGATGCTTAAATGGAATCATATGTGCAAATAAAACTATATACAGCAATTAATAATCAACCATTGTTGATCCTAGGCCTAGGAAATGCTGTACTGGATACAGATCCTGCTATGAGAACAGCACAAAAATCTTGCAGGGATCACTATGCACACTCAAATTTCATGCCAAGATGTCAACACTGACATTTTCTGCAAGATTTACCACACAGGTCTAACAAGGATGTCTGGATTTGCAAAGCTGACACAAGTCATAAAATTAATGCTTAAAAGATGCTCAGCTACTGTGACTTGTTTGTGTGCCCATACCCTGGAGAAGGGAAAACAACAGCAGTACTCACATTTTTCAAGGGTATTCATTATTTTAACACAGTGTTTCTAGTTCTAGAATATCCCAGAAGATTATATGAACACAAGCATGCATATTATTTAAGACAATAGAATTTATTTAGAAAACAATGTTTCATTTTCTAAAAATCTCATCCCTGTGCTAATGCCTTCTATGAAACATTTACATATTGAGCAACTGCTAAAGTGCCCACAGTTGAGAGAGATCTCTTACTTGAAGTGGTTCCTAGAGCTCTCCAAGAAGGTGAGTTTTTAACTTCTCCCCCTTTCTACCCCTCTCCCCTTAAATGCACATTATTTACTGTTTATCAGCAATGCAAATAATTTACTTTAACCTAACTCATTTAAAACTTACACCTGAAGCTCCTCAAAGTCCTCTCTAGACCTAATTTAAATAATCCCAAAAATAAATTACTTCAGTAATTTTATGATTCTGTGTTTTTTCTGTATATCTTTTCTAGGTTTGATTTAGTGTTTCAGTAAAATTTTTTGCTTTTGGTTCCTATCTAGAAGGCCCAGAACATGACTACAGCAAGTTGGTATCTGCTTACAAAATACTTCGTAGATACAAATTTGTTACCAGAATTATTTTCTGCTTCAGCATTTATAAATCCACTAACTGGTATGTTTCAGAGCATTTACTGGATTACTTACTTCTCCTGGGAGAAAAGACTTCTACATAAATATTACATGACCACATAGTTTGTGTAGAACAGACCAAATATTTCTCTGTTGAGCTTTTAATGGGGCACATGAAGGAAAAAAAAAGGGAGGGAAGCACAATAAACCAAATCCCCTACACAAACACTCTTCACTGGACTCTGCTATCATCATTACATGTAAAACTATTTGAAACAAAACTCTCAGCAAAAGAGCATATTTTTGGTCTACATTAATAAAAACTCACCTGGTTTGAAGAATAAAGGATCATTTTTAAATATCTTCAGTGATTCAATCACACTTTCAAACTTTTCCTTCAAATAATACTCTTCCTGTTCAAACTCCTTGTCGTTCCTGCCAGGCTTTGAATTTTGGCTTTTTGTCCCACTATGATGTTCTTTCTTCTGTTTGACACATTCAGATTTTTCAGTCTCTTTACCTTCTTTTTGTTCTTTATCTTGATGGGATTTTGTTAGTTTAAGTGCTCTGTTTGCCTTTTCCTTTTCTTCTTTTACTTTTGTAATATCTTTTTCATAGTGACGAATCCCACTCAAGTGTGAAACTAACAGTCTTGTGGTAATAGTGACCTAGGTAGACAGGATAATGTGAGCTCTCTTCATTAAAGCACCAACAGTAAATCAGCAAAAAAGTAAAATTCACCATGACAAAGAACAGGCAAAGGTGCAAGACCTTTTAAATATCACATATTAAACACAGTATTAAAAGAAAAAATATGTATGTGGACACTATACACTTGGTATAAATTAAAGATCCAAATATACTTTTTTGAGCAGGAAACATCAGTACTTGTCTAAATTATTTTGAGTGTTTTGTAGGAATAGGTGCAGATCAGGCACCTGTACACAGAGAGCTATGTAGCAAAAGGAACAAAAATTTAAAAAAACCTCTTACCAATAAACAATGACATACCTTTTCACCCTCGTAGAACTTTTCTGGAAATTCAGGGACATATTTCTGCACTGGAGCATCTAAATCCAGTTTCCCCTCTTCCCACAGTTTAGCCACAGCCATCATTGTGAGGCACTTGCTGATGCTGGCGATGCGCATGATGGTCTCTGGCTTACACAGCACACGGTTCTCCACGTCAGCATAGCCCAGACCTCCCAGAAAATAAAAACACTCCAGTAAGTCCTTTGCACAGAGACATGCTGAATTAATTCAATGCAATGAATTAGATTGATTGGCCCTTTAAAATGTTTTTCCTCCGCCTAAACTGGGATATGAAGCATTGGACTATCCCAGCCCCCTGCTTCAATTCATTTAATAACATATTACTGTAATAGTGACAATTAATCAGAGCCCATTGGATCAGACAACGGCATCTCAAGTCGGTGATTAAGACTACAACAAACATAATGATAAATGAGATCAAAGATTAAGCCAAAATTTACAGAGCTGAGGTCAGATATCAGTGTAGAAAACCCAAAGAGACCAAAATCTAGACCGTAAAATAACTGACCAACAGTCATAAACACTCATTTTATTGCTCTGAATTAATGGCTGAAGCAGTAAAGGGTTTTATTTTATCAGTATAAAAACAGAGAGAGGAAATCACCCACAAATTCATACCAATTATCTAAGCTGTAAGGTTTCAGGAAACTGAGGTGTTACTATGTTTCAATATCACTCAGCATGACTTCAATTAAAATACAGTTAACAGGCTCTGTAACAGTGTTTTCCTATGTAACCAACCCACAAGTCTGGTAGCAAGAACTGGAAGTAATAAGGCATTATGAAGTTGCCAAACTAGTCTTCAGTTTGAGCAGGGTTTGAAGAAAGTGCAAGTGATGTTGCAGCATAAAAGCGAGAAAATGCAGCAATAACATATTTGCAGTTTTCAGTACAAGAAAGTCCTTCAAGCAATGCACCTCTGCCTGTATAAAACTGTAGCCTAACAATGAACTGCTCAGGGAAAACCCCCAAACCTTGACAAAGTACAAGAAATAAAACAGATGACATGCCATTTGACCAAGACCCTTTCTCTTACATAGTTGCTACTCAAGTGCCTGGTGCTTGTCAATGCAGCTGCTGTTGCCCTCAGTGAAAACACCTTCCAAACCTTACACCATTCCCATCAAGCAAGAAAACAGGTTTATTACTGTGGTCACAGAATGCATGCCACTTACACCTCTTCCTACTTTGCCTCCTGGAGAAGGGAGGAGGAGACCCAAACAATCCAGAACTGGATTTTTTGAAACTCATGAAAATGTTTCTGAGGACAGATACACATTTTGGTGGGTTTTTTTAAATATCAAATGTCTACATGATATGAGAAGTACTAACAGGCTCTACCTAAAACGAAACTGTGTAATCAGAAAAATCAATTGAAATTTCTGAAAGGATAACACTTGTTAAATCCCAGTACCTTCCCAGTAAAACTTCACCTCAGCCCACAGACAAGCCAGGTCACCAAATGTGAGCTGTTATTCCTTTGACCACTAAGGCAGCTCCTGTGGGAAGAACAGTTCTTTGTCTCCTACATACAGTGCTACCAGACCACTGTACAGCTCTATGCCCAGAGTACATTCAAAGGGTAATCTGAAAAATTAATGGAAGAAAGGTTCTCCAATCTAACTTTTGAGACATATTAGCATATTCAGGAAGTTAACAAATTATCAATTCCTGGAATTGATGGAATTTTACCGAGGAAGGCACCATTTGATACTCCCTAAGCACCCATTTCTGGCCACTGGAGATGGGATATCAGACAAAATCCCAGTCTGAGCTTGTCTGAATTGATCGTTTTTAAAATGTTCATCAGTTCTTGACAGTATGCACAACTACTACTCCCACATACTAACCTTCTGACCAGACTTCCTTTCCATCTACAGAAACTCCAACTAATATACCTGGGATTCCTGCTTCATCCTGCCAAAAAAAAAAAAAAAAAAAAAGGACAGAAGCCATTTAGAAGGATCTTTACAGTTAAAAAATACGTCCTCCCAAACCCTTGAACTGAAAACGCTCTAAAAACCCTACAAATAAACCTGTGTATTGTTGTCAAATTATAGTTGAAATTTTGTTATGTACCAGTTTGGGTGGACTGGTCCATGCTTTTGCAAAGCTGACGTTTTAACTCAGGCATTGGGAAAAACATACCTAAGAAGAATAGCAAGGTAATATTTTTGCTTTAAGAATTCAATTAAATTATTGAACGGAACATGCAAAAGAAACAAAACATGACAGAGTTAATATGCAACCGGCAAACTGCATCACCTACTGGCAGGCAAGATTTCAAAGAAGCTTCAGCTGGATTTTCGAAGTAACTACAACGTGCTTTTAAAACAGAATCACAGAATATCCCGAGCTGGAAGGGGCCCACAAGGATCCGAGAGGCCAACTCCTGGCCCTGCACCGAACTCCAGGAATCCCAAATCCCACCCTGTGCCTCGGAGCGCTCCAGAGCTCTGCCAGCCTTGCGAGCCGTGACCGCTTCCCTGGGGAGCCTGTTCAGTGCCTGACCACCCTCCAACTGAAAAACCCTTCCTGCTATCCACCTAAACTTCTCCTGACTTAATTTCCTGGTATTCCCTAGTCACAGAATGCAGAGATCAGTGCCTGCCCCTCTGCTTCCCCTCATGAGAGCTGCAGCCTGCAGTGAGGTCTCCTCTCTTCCAAGCCGAACAAAGTGCCCTCGGCCACTCCTCCCATGGCTCTTGCCACTCCTTCCCACAGCCTTTAAGGCACCCCCTTGTTCTCAGATACCCCATACTGTGCCACACTTCCGCAGTCCCCTGTATCGAGCTGGGCTAAGCTGCGCCAGCCCCGACAGCCTCCAGCAGTGTCCCCGCTCAGCACCTTGATCCTCCGCACCAGGTCCCTGCTCCTCTCCACGGCCGCTCCGAAGCCCCGCGGCGGCGGCGGCGGCGGCGGCTTCTCCTCCCGCCCGCTCTCAGGCTCGCCTCCCTCCGGCGCCGCTCGAACCCCCAGCGCCAGCCCCAGCGCCAGCCCCCAGCCCCAGCGCTGCGCCCCGGCCCCGCCGCCCCCTCTGCGGGCCGCGGGGACCCTCCCGGGAGCCGCCGCCCGCCGCAGGGCCCGCGCCAGGCCCGACATGGCCGGGGCGGACACGGCACCGCCGGGTCACAGGCACCGCCGGGTCACAGGCACCGCCTCGCCGGGCCGAGCCCCGAGCGCATCGAGCGCCGCCGCCTCACGGAGCAGCGCGGCCGCCGCGGCGGGACGGGCCCCGGCAGGGCCTGGAGCGGCCGGCGCCGGGCAGCGCAGCTCTCCGCGTCCGCCCAGGCTGCAGACGGGCCCGCTCCGCCCAGATGGACACTCGGGACACGACTGGCCGGCCAGGGCCATTAGGAGAATCACAGGAACAGTTAGGTTGGAAAAGACCTCTGAGATCAGCGAGTCCAGCCTGTGACCGAACACTGCCTCATCAACTAGAGCATGGGACCAAGGGCAACGTCCACTCTTTCCTTGAACATCTCCAGGGTCGGTGACTCCAACACCTTCCTGGGCAGCTCACTCCAATGTCGCTCTTTCAGTGAATAAATTCTTCCTAGTACCCATTCTAAAACTCCCTTGGTGTAGCTTAAGACTATGTCCTCTCATCCTGTCACTTGTTGTGTAGGAGTAAAGTCTGACCCCCACCTGGCTACACCCTCCTGGCATAGTGAGTTCTAGAGGCAATAAGGTCTTCCCAGGATCTCCTTTTCTCCAAGCTAAACATCCCCAGCTCCCTCATCTCATCAGACTTGTGCTCCAGACCTTTCCCCATCTCCATTGTCCTTCTTTGGACCCCCTGCAGCACCTCAGTGTCCTTCTTGTCTTGAAGGGTACAGAACTGGACACAGTAGGAGCAGGTTTCTTTAGTTTCTTAGATCTGGTTTCTTTAGTTTACCACCAAAAGCCACCAGCTGTGTCCACATGCAGTTACAGGTGGTATTTGGCAAAATGAGCCAAATCCCCGTGAATCCTCCTCAAAGACTTACTCTTTGAAAGTAAAGGTTTTTGAAGCACAGATCCTCTCTGCTGGGTAACTGGAATGCCCAGAGCCCCCAGCAGGCTCAGCTCTTCCTCCTGATGGAGGTGAAGTTGGCTCAATGTGGCTCTGACAAAATAACCTGGTTTTAACCAATACTTTCATTGCACTGATGCATTAGAACAAGATAGAGAAGGTGAAGAATACTTCAAGCCATGACACAATTTAACTCTGCACTCCCCAGGCAAATGTTTGCAGAACCAAATTTTTAAAAGCCTGCTGCTAAACATATGCCAGGCAGAAATACAGCAAGCTAGGCCAACACTCAGATAAGACCTTTTAACTGCAAGATGAGCATATTTGAACTAGGTTTGTCAGGAATTACTTAAACAGCTGAATCTTCCAGCACTGCAACCAGTGTCAGGTTTCAGCCTAGCAGAGTGTGGATGGCACAGCTGGCATATGCAGAGTTCTAAAAGGACAGACTGCCCACTTCTGCTTATAAGTATGGCTCACTTCTTTGAGATGCTAACCTAGGGATTTCACTATTCTTCATGTCCAACGATCTCAAAAATTGCAGGATTTGGCAGAAAGTCAGGCCAAATAGCTTTCATGTGTGAAGTCAAATGCAGACCAGATGCTACCCTTTTCATTGCAGGCATTTATTGCTCATTAGTATTTTCTCAATAAAACTCCATTGCTTATCACAGTACAACTTCATACCCAACTGCTACAAGATGATGTATTTACTTTCTTGTAACTCATGTTCACGGTGTTAAACTGTGTCTGGAAGCATTTTGCAACAGGATTCTCTGCATTCTTACATTAACCTGCTCAGCAGGAACACTCTTTGACATTACACTTTTGAATGGACCAGAAACAGAGCTTGCCATTTTTCTGATTGCCTTAATGAAGAGCTTTGTTGTGCTAACTCCAGTAGCACAGCTTGGCCTATTGTCATCTCTTTTATTTTCCTCTAAACTGCTGGGTTTGCTAACTTTGAATTGAGGTATCAGGCTTACAATGTTTTGAGGATTTTCTACTCTTTTTCTATTGATAGCAATAGAAAATGAGGCAAGCACTAGGTTGATCCAATTCTAATTTAGCAAAAAAGACTCTTTTTCTTCTATTCTTGTCCATCAGTGACTCAGGCACAGAGTCTCAACTCTAATCTTCTTTATTTAACATAGCCAGAAAAGTCAGTCTGGAGACCCCTCTGGCATGGTGGAAAAATCACCACATGGTTGGTTTAGTATTAAACCAGGTGACTTTTCCCCTGCTCCACCTCCTTGCCAGGCTATACCTGCTGGATTTGTGTTCACATATGCTTTATTCAGATGATAAAGAATGTGTGAGACAATAGCCCTTTCAGCAAGGCAGGGCTGTGCTCACTCACCTCCCCTTGGGCCCAGTTTTGGAGTCTCACCATCAGGAATCCCTTAAGGTTTTAGAGCCTCTAAGACAAACACCAACTGCTCAATAACACAAGATCTTCAAACAATCTGCTGGTGTATCTCCCCTGTTATCTTGCTCTTCAGTTGCATGCTGCAGCATTCACTGGCTTTCTCATAACACTGATGATGTGAGATGGAGAACCACAGCAAGGTGGGCAGCAGCTTTTGTGCTGTTCTGCAGTGGTGCAGCCCATCAGCAAAAGCTCATTCTGCTGCTGAGAGTCACCAGCTTGTGGAAACATCAGGCATCTGCTAATTGTGAGGCTTCATCAACATTTCCTAAAACATAATTCTTGGGGCAAAAAAAAAAAAAAATCAGGAATTTTGAAAACAACTTCATCACTTCCATCAGTCCTCCTCCATTTGTGCAAATGCTTTTGTGGATTCTGATGTCTCAGCAATGTTTAACAGATGTTATTATGGTTGTTCCTGCTTGTAGGTCTGGACTTTGATCACATTATTGTTTGCTATGATGATCTCATTTGCTTTTCTAGTTCACTGACAAACTCTGCAGTGACATGTCCCTAAATGTAACCCTTCCATTGAAAAAATGGGTAATGTTTTTAACAAACATCATGTAAGGTTTGAAAGCTAAAAAACAAGTGATTAGTATTAGCATTCCCCTGATGAAGGGCTGGTCAGACCTGAAACCATGAGCCATCTCTGCTCTTTCATATTATTAAATACCATTTGTAACTGCCACAGACACAGATTGAAGCTTGTAGGATGAATGTGTAGGAAAGGGCTTTTAAAAATGAAGAAAGCAGTAGTGTAAGGAAGCTCCTTTGTTTTCTTTTTTGGATTTATTGTGAAATAATGAAATGGCCTGCTAATCCAATGGAGTCCCATTACTCCAACTGGATTCCAATAATTAAAGACTCATTTATGTAAAGATTTCTGGATCTAAAAGTGTTGAATGTAATGGAATATAATTAACAGGTGAGCAAAAGTTGTCAAAAAGGACTGTAATTTATATTTGTACTAGAAGAAATGAAATAAAATAGGAAAACAGCAATTAAAATGTTATCCATGTATACATAGACGTGGAAAATTTATGATGATGGAAAATGCAAAGAGTGAAGGGATAATGATTACCTTGATCAAACATGACATTTCTACTCTCAGCACAGGAAGGAAATAACAGACCCAAATTCTTTCTGAATTAGAAAAGAAGATAAATAAAGGGAATGCTAGATGTAGAGAGAAACCAAGCTCTGTTTTTTCTCTCTTTTCAGAAGCAATTTCATTTATTTGAGACCCAAGAGACAGAATTTTTATTTCCCTCTGGCTTGAAGCGTTTGTACAGTAGATGGCAGTAAAAACCCTCACCCATTTAATCAGCTGCTAGCAAAGGGAGTGGTTCCACTGTCACAGAGCTACTGAACTCAGTTATTGCAGTCTCCTCACTCACATACATCTTTTTGTTTGGTCTTGCTCAGTATGGCAGTTCTCAGAGTATTATTATTTATCAAGTAAGGTAAGAGCTGCATGATCTCAGTGTATGTAGCAGTGCAGTAACAGCTGCCCTACCAGTGTGCACCTTTGACATTCTATGCTAACACAGTCAGAGCCAGCCATAAATCCAGGCACGATCCCCCTAAAGGTACAGAAATAAGGGCATACTCACAGATTGAGTTTAAGATTAAAATCTTCCCCGAGTTGTTTGGGTTGGTTTGGGTCTTTTCCAAACTAAGGTCATAGGTCAGCTGAGAAACATTAGTCAGGAACAAATCTTTAAGCATGTAAGATATCTGAACCAAGAGAAAGAGTAGGATTAAAAGCAGTGGGTCTTCAGACAGTGAGATCAACACGTTTGTCATCAGCTTTGCTTAATTTACTCCATTTTCCTGTGTACTCTGGATGTATTATCCGGGCATTATATACTTTCAATGAAATAGAATATGCAAATTTTATAGTGCCACACTGTTACTGCCCTAATTTCAGAAGTTGCATGCAGTCTGACATAGTTCCTAAAAAATAGGATGGGAATTCGGAAAATATTTTGCATGTTAAGAAAAGGAATGCTGAAAGGACCATGCTGTGGTTACAGATCAGCCAAAGGGCATGCACACTTATTTTTCTTCTTTGCAAAAACAATTTTAAAATTCTAGTTTTGCAATGGTGATTTCCTCATCGTTTTAATTCAGGATCTACTTGAAACTTTTTCGGGCTCAGAGGAAAAATAATTTTCACCAGCTGAAAGTATGTAGTGAAGGAACATTTGTGAAATACATCAGTGTAAAAAAGAGAAAACCACTCCCACACACATGCCCTCCAAAGAAAAGAAAAGATGCAGAATTTTTTTCTTTTTTTTTTTTCCCTGAAGTTATTCTCCAGATAACAATCTCTTCTGGTAGTAAACAGCAGAGAGGAGACTGAACAATTTTGTGCCTGAGAATGTATTCACATTTATCATGAGAATTCAGTTGCTGTGTGTAACCTTTCTACCCTCTCCAGCATTTCTCCCACTTACTGGGCAGAGGTGCAAGACACCATGGAAAATGATGGTGTGCATCACCACTGCTCAGTGCCAGAGGCACCACACAGCATCAGTGAGTTTGACTTTTCCAGTTGTATCTTTTCAGACTCAATATGTTGTTTCAAAACAAAGTAAGAGCCATGGAAGATGTGAAACACCTGAAAGATTAAATATATTAACAAGGTATGGT